CAGCATTTTTCAACGTGGGAGGTGACCAAAACGACCCTTCAACCTACTTGCCTGAAGGATTTGCGGAGAGGACACAGGGCGTGGGGCTTATTGTGCACTCTTGGGTTCCGCAAGCTGCGATTCTTGGACATTCATCTAGTGGAGCATTTTTGTCGCACTGCGGTTGGAACTCTTCTTTGGAGAGTTTGTCTCATGGGGTGCCTATTCTTGCTTGGCCCCTTTACGCAGAGCAGAGAATGAATGCAACCCTTCTTGAGGAAGGGGTGGGCGTTGCCGTGAAGCCGGTGGTGCAGCCGGGGAAGAAGGTGGTTGGAAGAGAGGAGATTGAGAGAGTGGTGAGGTTGATAATGGAAGGTGAAGAAGGTAAGGTGATGAGGCGTAGAGCCAAACAGCTGAAAGAAAAAGCAGACACGGCATTGAGTTGTGGGGGTTCATCCTATAATTCAGTCTGCCAAGTTGTCGGTATCTGGAAGTCCTTGGTTTAGTAGGTTTTATTGTTCTTTGCAGGTTTCGGGAAGCAAACAGATTAGTGATAAGTACTACTTGAACCTTTTTAATGACAAATAATTACTTCTATGTTGTCTAAGTTTTACTTCTATGGTAATAGTAGTCTAAGTTTTACTTCTATGTCTAGTACTTTGGGTGTTTTGTGTTTTAATTTGATTGCTTTTCTATGTATCATATTAGAACAAAGCTTTGCTTTAGACGTTTCTCAGTTAAGATTTCGAATTGGTTTCATCCTAAGTATAGTAGCATTTATGTATGGAGGAGAATTAAAGCATTCGTAAATGAGATTGACTGCAGGACCGGTGCATGGTTTCCACAATCAAGTATGCATGATTGGGTACGCATTTTGGAGTTTGGAAGTGCTGGCGCACGTTATGAAGCTGCTTTTCTCAAGCTTCTTGTACAAACACGAAATGCAGGGGAAAAGAAAAAGAAAGGAAAATTAAACACGATAAAGAAAAGTAGATTAAAGGCATCTATATCTATATAAATTTGAAAAGGGATTTTTAGCAACAAGCATCCATATGTCTTCTCACTATCAATTCCATTTTTCTAACATTTCACATTTAATTTAATTTATAAAATATATTCCTCTTCTTCTATGTCTACTCTTCACATTTGAAATTGTTGGTTACTTTTTAAAATCATTCCATTTCAAATTGTTGGTTAATGTACATGTTATCCTATTTGAACTTCAACCCTTTCCAATTGCCTTGTATTATTTATGATTCTACTCCAATTAAAACTTCTATAGGACTATAACAAGAGATAACAAATATAACATTCTTTCATGCTTTCTTATTAATTTAAATAAGTAAGATTATTTACATTCCATTTTTGTTATGCACACTTTAATAATCATTTTGATCATATAGTTTTCATTAATTAGACTATATGATAAAACAAATGGTGAAATTTCAAATAATAAAAAATGGAGTGCAAATAACATTTTCCTAAGTAAGAAGTGGCTTCCATGCCTTTCTAATTTAAATACGTAAGAAATGGCTCCATTTATATAGGAATTTGGTTTGAAGTTTATTAGTGGGAAGGTAAATAAAGAGAAAACATTGCCAAATTTAGTAAAAGTAAAAAAAAAGTAAATAATAATGTTTTATCTTTTAACTTAGTAATCCTAAGTAAAAGAGCAAAATTAAATAGAAAACAAAAAAGAAATAATGCTGTGGATTTAAAAAATCAAGAATGGTACCATTCATGAAATCTAAATTATGAAATCACTAAACAAAAAACAAAGTACTATTGGCTTTTAAACGTGGAAATTTTTTTTGAAATATTCAAATATTCATTTTTGATAAAAATAATGATAACAACAACACCAATTCTACCAAAATTTTTTTAAAAAGTAAATATTATAGTTTAAGAGAAAAATATAGACCATTTGACCATAAAATATTACTTAATTTGTATATATCTGCCCCAAGTTGGACCCTGATTAGATTTGAATAAGAGCGCCAAACCCAAACACTAAGGATAACTTTTGATATCATTAATTATTTTATGTATTCTTATTGCTGTCTTCATATGTAAATATGTATTTGCTATGTTAAATATATATATATATATATATACACACACACATTGATTGTAGTATTTGAGGATATTATAGATATTATCAGTTTTTCATTTCCATTTTTAGATACTAATAATTGCAACCATTGTAATCAATTTTCAATTTTATATTTTCTTTATGATAGGTAAAGTTTAATATATTGGGTCGGAGGGATATGAATTTAGAGGTTGAGTATGGGAGGAGGAAAGAGGGAAGAAAATGGTAAGAAGTTGAAAAGTGGCGAGAAAGGCTGAAGAAGAAATGTGGGTTACAAGGATCGGCGTGGAAAATGGAGAGAAGAAGAAAGGGGATAGCGGTGATATGACAAAGATGACAAAAAAAAAAAAAAAATAGAGAGAGTGGTACAATGATAGAAGATACGGAAGTCATGCAAGTCATAGGAGGCGTCTCATAACTAACTGGCAGATAAGAGAAGAGGGAAATGATGGTGATTTTTAATAATTTTGAGAACTCTAAAAACATATATTACTGAGATTTTTTTTTAAAATATACGTTAAAATTTATGAAAAATGCTAATCTAAATGTAGTCAATAATTTTAGCGGTACAAGATAGGAGAAATTTTTTTTTTCTAAAAATGGAAGAAAATAAATTGGTTATAATTTATTTTTTTTATATTATAAGTTTTGATATATGAGTATAACATAATATATTTTGTCGGATACTGATAAATTGATTTTTTTTTTAGAAAACTCTTCTCACCTTATCACCCAACCTAACCATTTCCTTAAATGTGTTAACAATTCCTCTATCATGTAAATCATTATAAATTAAAATTTTTTCAACATATTAAGCATACATTTCTTTAAAATTTTTAGTCTATATATAAATATATATAATATTATTTTGATTTGAAATATAATCCCGTGTATGACACGGGTCAAAATACTTGCTAGTATATAATAAACACCAGAAGCTGACAAAATGCAGGTATGGAAGATATGGGTTTCGTTTTTCCTACACGTCTCTATGAACAACACTTTCTACTCAGAGTTCTCTTCTTGGCTCTTTACTCACTCTTTTGCGAGAACTAGGAGGGGATCACCGCGCATTCGCGCGGTGTGAAATTAATAGGTAAAATGCCCAGGGTAAAGCCCATTGTAATAGTTTTTTTTAAATCAAATAGATAATCCATAATTAGGAGTAATGACTAAAATAAGTTATAAAACTATATTTGCCAAATATGTTGAGTCAAGGCCAAGTTTATTAATAAATAATACAGTTAAAAAAAAACTTCTATAAATTATTACAAGTTGTATGCATAATTGGATACTAAGTGTTTACTAACTATGGTTCAAGCTTGCATTTCTCAATCTCTTTACAATGCCGAATATTGTTCAAGAGTTCATTTGTCTTCCTCTTCCTAGAGCTTATTCGAATAATCTCCTATTCCCATGTTTTTATCCTGCACTAGAGGTAATGCAATTTTATGTTTAAGCCATATGAATTTTATGTATCATTAAGGATATAATCTGGACAGAGTAATAAATGAACTACTATGATGGAACTAAAAGCAATATAATATTACAGTATAAATTGAGTTAGAATTGGCCCAACAGGAAGCAAATAAAAACTACTTTCTCCGCCATAAAATATGCAATTTGCTAGTAGCTATGCTTGATATGCACATGCAATGGTGATAACGTTCTTTATTGTCATGGTCTTGTATGTGTCAAAATCAACTGTAAATTAAGGGGGCGCTTGGTTCAAGTTTAGGAATTGAAATTGTAATTGGAATCATAGACTCTGGTTTTGGAATTAAAACTTTTCATTCCAATATCTTGCTTGGTTCACACATTGGAATTAGCATTATTCCAATTCCTGATGCTTGGTTTGATGAGTGTTTCGGAATAAAATGCAATTAAATTCCAAATTTACCCCTGATATAACAATTCTTCTAAAACAAAAGAATTACACATACGACAAATTAACATTTTCATAATTGTAACTACAATAGCTATTAACTTTTTGATAAAACATAAGAAAATCATAAATAATAAAAAAATTAATACCAGAAAATAAATATAGTGGCTGCATTAACAAGGAGTAAATTCCCAAAAAAAAGAGTTTTTAAACAATCACCCAAAAGGTGACGATTTTTTAGTCTCTTCCCAAAGGGTGAAAAATGCATCCAAGGAATGTGTTCTTCCAAATAAAAACGCAACTTTCAAATACGTTATTTTATGTTTTGGAAATTTATTTAAATATGAAAAATTGGTTAAATAGCCCATAAGATACCAGCTCTTTATGGAAAACTGGCAGGTTTTGTACCAGCTTTATGGAAAAAATTGATTAAATAGTGCCCAAAGGAAAACTAGTATGTTTTGTATTTAACATAAATTAAATATGTGAAAGTTAAAAAAACAAAATTGCCCATAAGATACCAGCTCTTTAAAGGAAACTGACAGGTTTTGTAGTATGTTTTGTACCAACTATTTATGGAAAACATACCAATTCTTTATGGAAAAAATTGATTAAATAGCGCCCAAAGGAAAACTAGTATGTTTTGTATTTAACATAAATGAAATATGTGAAAGTTAAAAAAAAAAGAAATTACTCATAAGATACCAGCTCTTTATGGGAAATTAGCAGGTTTTGTATTTAATACGCTATTTAACCAATTTTTTATATTTAAACAAATTTACGAAAATTAAAATAACGTATTTGAAAGTTGCATTTTTATTTGGAAGAACACATTTCTTGAATGTGTTTTTCACCCTTGGGGAAGAGACTCAAAAATTGCCAGCCTTTAGGAAGTTAGTTTAAAAACTCATTCTTTTTGGAAATTTACTCCATTAACAAGTCATTTGTGGTTCCTATATTAGATAATGATATGAAATATATCTCTCCTTACATATATGAACAAAAGAATGAGACTCAAATCACAAAAGCTAACCATACCAAATACAAGTCAATTGTCTAATCCAGTCGAGAGTGCCACTCAATGTCCACAATCTTCAAAAGACTAATCATATAACCATCTAACAATCACCATAACAAAAAGAAATTGCCATCAAATCATCACTTTCCAGCTAACAATAATTTTACTTCAGCGAGTAGATGGAGGATAAAGGAGGTTAATTACATATTGTCGTTTCATTTCTGCAGGAAGATTGTAGAACACATGAAGCTTGGAAATCTGCTCCGAAAGTATGTCGGCTGCATTCATTACATCTCCACTCGGTAAAGCAAGTTTCATTAACTCAGCAACAACTTGATCTCTTCTATCAGAGACCAATTGCTCACGTTTATCCTCATTTGACATGGCTGCTGCCATAGTTGTGAAATTAGCTTGAATTCCCTCCACGAAATCTCCAAATTTGCTGGTGAGAAGTTGCAATGATGCATCAAGATCACCCCTTGTTGTTGATGCAGATTTCATTTTTTTTGACACATTTGCAATGGGAGGGGATTGTTTCTTTTGTTTCTTGGAATTTCTTGTACTTGTTGAGCTTGGTTGAGTTGATTGCTCTATGGAATTTACTTCATCTTCTTCTACCTTATCATTATCCGAGTTTGACATAGTATCAAGTCCTTCATGTCCTTCCTCCAAATTTTGAACATCTTCCATATCTTGGACAGCTTGTGCAAAATCTTCAGCAACATTTCCAGTGGCTCTGTCTCTTCCATATACAATTTCAAGATCTCCTAAATATGAAAATTTGACATCCCAAAGGCCCTTCGCATCCTTATGAGTCTAGAGATAGAATAGAAAGATAAATGATAATCTTAATAAAAGGTTGAAAAAGAACATATCAGAATGTAAAAAGTAATCAATTTCTTACCTTGCACCAATCATCATACCACTGTTTTTCACAAGAAATCTTTTTCTCAGCATCATTCCAACTACAACCACTTTCTTTGCACATTTCAACAATTGCATGGAACCTATTTTTCAGCCACTTAACTTTTGATTCAATATGTGGGCTGACTTGTTTGGTAAAAGCAGGTTGTTTACGCAAGATAATTTTAAGCAATTCACTCATATAATTATTTTTAAATCCTCCATCTGATTTCCACATTGGATCACAAGCCAACTCTTGCAATGATTCTATGAGCAATTTTACCTTTTCACCAGTCCAAAAATATTTATTTTTCCCTCTTCCACGTACAATTTCATCATTTTCCATCCTATCATTTAGAAGTCAACCCATATATATCAATTAATTTTGATACTCAATAGCATATAACTGAAATTTATAATATAACAAAACACATAAAAGAACATACAATTAAAAGTCAATCCAAATTTAAAAGAACATACATCAAGTGTCAATCTAATTCACAAATCCACTACAAGAGTACATCAAATGTCAATCCAAATTTAATGAGTCTAAGAGCTAAACATCCATTCATAGCTAAATACTAAGTCCAGCCCTCCAATTGTCAAACATTTCATGTGCTAAATTATTTCTAAAATTTGCCCATTGATTACTTGGCAAAATAGTGGATATGCACTCTACTTCTTCATCACTGTCTTCATCTTCACTTTCATTTTATTCACTTTGTAGTAATTCTTGTGGATCAAAAGTCATGAACTTCCTTATCAAGTTGTGCAGCAGACAACATGCCATAATTATTCGCACTTGTGTTTGAATTGGAAAAAATGAAGGGGATGCTAGAATCTTCCACCTTCCTTTTAGCAATCCAAAACATCTTTCTATGATATTTCTAGCTTTAGAATGTTTCATGTTGAAATATTCCTCTGGTCTTTGTGGTCGATAACCATTGAATTCATTAAGGTGATATCTTTGCCCTCGATAAGGGGCAAGAAATCCATCAGCATTACAATATCCAGCATCCACCAAGTAATAACAACCTTCAAAATTCAATCATGTACAAATTAATACTAGACTACCTTATTTTCGAAAAAAAATTGATTGAATGGTATTGAATACTGCAATATATGTTTACCTTGTGGGACTCTAAGACCATTTGGTCTAGAGACAGCATTTCGAAGCACACGACCATCATGTGCCGAACCTTCCCAACCAGGCAAGACATAGATAAATTGCATATTAGGAGAACAAACCCCTAATACATTCGTTGCAATACTTTCTTTTCTCGTTCGGTATCTTGATTTTTGTTCGGTGGGTGGTGTCACATCTATTAATGTCCCATCTAAGGCACCTAAACAATTCTATTTTAACAAAAATAAAAAATATAAATGAGTTAAAATGTCTATATTGGATAGTTTAGATGAAAACATACATTTTATTAAATGATTGTATTTTAATATTTGAATTACCTTAAAACATTTCTATCTCTCATCTGTGCAATCTTCGGTAATAGGCTCAGGCTTCTTAAGTAATATAGTATGCAATTTCAAAACTGTTAGGAGGCAAAGATTAAATTGACGACTCACCGTTTCTCTACTTCTCCAAAATAGACCACAAATTGTTCTACTTTTCTTGTGGTGAGCCAAAACATATACAAACATGGCAACAATTTCTTCTATTGACATGTTTCTTGTAGCTTTCAAACCTCCAGTGTCTCTAATCATTTCACATAATATCCCAAATGTTCGTCTATCCATACGAAGTTCGCTAATACAATAAGCATCACTCTCCCTAGTCAAATTGAATAAGTGTTGCATGCGCTCAGTGACTTTTTCTTCTTTTGATTTTATTAGGCGTCTTCTACTTTTGAGATGTATGAATATTAACTGGTACCACATCATAAACAGTGCAATAACAACCATTATCATTCCTGATAAAATCTGGCTTTGCCCTAGATATTTTTTGCGTCTTCTGTTTTCAATAGGCAAACGTGGCATCTTTGTCTACATAACAATATGACAACCAAACGTAAGTATTCACCAAACTAGATTACGGCATCAAAATCTTCAAATGCATTAAACATCAATTGATCTTATTAAAAGGGCCTAGACATGCATCATACATCCGTAAACACAATGATGTATAGATATAAATAAGCATAAACAAATGAAATTGATGGTTGAAACTTGAAATCCTAATGTACGAATAACTATGAAACTGAAAGCTATTCAAGCAGACAATTTTACAAACAGGTACAGGGCATGTAGAAACCCACCCAAACTATACCAGTATTCACGGATCAAATAACCAAAAGATCAAGAATTGATTGACCTCCATTGAATGCGTAATCCAAGAAAACACATTAAAACCATAAAAATGACAAATCTAGTGACATTAACATTTATCTCACCAAAAAAAAGAACAAAATAATGTATTTGTTGAAGTAAGTGAATTAAAATACATGTATTACAACCAATTTTGGTCCAGTTAGTGTTATTGTATCAGATTCCCTTCTTTTCTTCTTTATTTTCAGCTACCCAGTGAGTAGCCTGAAAAAACAGAGAAGAAGAAAGAGAAAAGCTTGCATACGAAAAGAAAATTGCAGAGGCAAGGGAGTTTGTAATCTACTAACCTGGGATCAAGGAATTCACCGTAGTAGAAGACTCTTCAACTCTAGAATTCGTTGTCCAAGGAGAGTCAAAAGCCACTGATCTTTATGGTTGTCCAACCGGTGAAGTAGAAGAGGTAGAAAATCTGATGAAGAAGAAGAACAGAAGGTGCGGCGTGTAATGAAGAAAAAAAGAGGGTAGGTTCGTCATAAATGTTTTTGCTCGGGAATGAGTTGAGGGTTTTGTCCAAAACCTCCCAATTTACTCAGGAATGGTGAAAGTCCGATTTTTTAGAAATGATTCCAGAAATTGCATTCCAATAGACTTAACCCAAGCAACAAATAAGGGGTTCATTCCATTATTTGATTCCCAAACCCTTTAACCAAGCAGCCCCTAAGCTCTTGTATGTTGAAACCAAAACTTTACACATTAGACAAAATTAAGAATGACACCATATAAAAATAGAAACGAAATATGTGATAAGTTTTGAAGCCAAAAATATTGAAATTTGAGAAATAAAAATGAAAGAACTAACATTTCCATGGGAAACAAATACGAAAAAGAAATTATTGATTAAGTAAAGAGGCCAATCGATGTCACAATTATTGATCACTATACCAGGGAAAGATAAATGATAGCAAATAGTAAAATAGTTCATATCCACACTGTTTGTGGTTGCAAAACCATACGTTGCTTCTTGATAAGAATTCATGAGAAAAGTCTTGTAGTAGTCGGCCAACTCAAGCAGTTCATCAACTTCCTCACTTTTCTTCCCAAAATTTCAAAAGCAAATTTAGTAAGTACTATATGATTGATAGCAACAAGTGATTATTCAAAAAACAACCAGTAAAGGAAATGCAAAGGAATTTAGAAATTTGAGGGATGAAAACAAATGATCCTAAGAGGGTTCAGCACATGTAGTCCTCAACCAAAAGATGTTGAATTTAGGCAAAGACTTGCTATTCATCAAGAATGGCAGTAATACCTATACATTATTTGGAAACAAGCACAATCAAGTCATCCATGTGGTTTCCATCATTTAATGGAAAGGCAATGAGCGGACAGGATGACTTGGAGTTCAAGAAAAAATCAAGTTAACAGGAATACCTAAAACTAAGAAAAAATGTAAACCACTGACCAACTTGATATGAACTATTTAAACTATCAATGAAATAGCAAGTTGAAGTTCCCATGGATCACGTCATCTTCATTAAAAAAAGGCATAAGATCATTACATGCAATCTTGGACCAATCAGTAAAGTCAAGATCAACTGAAAGCTTTTAATGCAGAAATTATTAATACAATTCCATAAGGCTTCCACAAATATGCTTTTTCGAAATAGAAACAGGGCTGCAATGTAACAATTCTTAGATCTCGATTAAATTGGGAAATTTGTATTATAGGTCCAATTAAAAACAAAAGCAAAAAATTTTTTTGGTCGAATAAATTGGGGAATTTGTATCAGTTAAGTTTCTTTAGAAAAAGTAACAAGTAACCGAGGATAGCATAAGATGCATAAGGTAAATAAGTACCTATTTAACTCAAATTCTGAACTACATCAATTCAAAAGAAAACCATGACTTCCGTTCTGAATCCAAAGCTGGTTCGAGGGTCTTGTAAAGGGTTTGACTTGGTATTTGGACTGCTATATCCTTCAATTTTAGTTTGTAAATAACCACATTGATCATCTTCCAGTAGCTCAAAGATAATAGTGCCAGGCTAATTGTTATATTTCCATCACCACATACCTCGACTAATTTTTTCACCATAAGGTGTCAGTTTAGATTCTTTATCCACTTCTTCACCTTGAAATCCATAAACAGCCTCCAATGACTTACCCAAAATCCATCAATAGTTGTGCAAAGAATAAACTGCTAAATAAATTTGAAAAAAAAAAGAAAGCAAAGAGAGAACAAAAACACTGAAACGATAACTCCTGCACATACCTTGAAGGCTGAAATAAGAAAAGTAGCCTCCTTATTTCGTTCTTCCTCCATCTAACAAAAATTTAGTGTAAACAAGCATCGGCCAGATGAAGAATATAATTAAAACAACCTCATGGTAACAACATTAGAATGATTTAGAGAAAATTATTCTCCATATTCTTCAACATTATTAACAATTGCAAATGAAATATACAACCCACCATTTTTTCCTTGCTTTTTTTACATTAAAATAAAAGTCTATAGTTACATGAAACAAGATGATATGTAGATTAATATCACAAATTTTCCTCTCCTTTCTGAGTAAGACCCTTTTGATTTCACAACCCTTTCAAGAATTCAATATTTTCATTTAATGGTTCACAAACCTTACATGGTTTGAAATTTAACTACTTCAACCATTAACACCCTAGAATTTAACCCCAAGCATTGAATAAATTACGTTGCTTAGCAAAGTAAACATGACATTCTAGTCGTTAATCAAACAATTTTGATCTAAATCCAAGGAAAAAAGGCCCCAAGATGGAATTCCACTCACCCGAGCTATAAAAAGTTGTCCAAAAAATGCATTAGTTGGCTGCAAAAAGAAAAAAAATGACAAAATCATTACCAACTAACTAAGAGAGTTTAACAGAAACAGCCAATCCACACTCTCTTACTTTGAATTTTTTACTTATAAAGAGTTATTGGCAATATCAACTGGAAAACAAAAATTTCTATGAACATGAAAAAAGAAGAAAGAAATTAAACCATTTCATATAAGGAAATAATCACAAGTTTCAATGCAAAAAAGTGAAAGCATAAAATATTGGATCTTAAGTAAGAATAATTACTGAATGGAGTTGCTTAAAAAGACATGACAGCCTCTTAATCATGACTTACACTGGAATTTTAGGAAATACTTCAATAAGAGGCAGACTGTCCTCTTCATAGTCCATTTCCTGAACATCTATGAAAGAGGAGTAAAGATAGGAGAAGATTACAGTTGACTTCTGGTAAAAAGAAAGAAAAAAAAAAAAGAAAAACAGAGATCCTAAAAGTATTTACTTGATCAAAGAATTTCCAATCATTCATACTTGGTATAAAATCCCCATTCCTCAACCTGTACCAAACATATAAAACTTATTAGAGAATAAAGTAAATTTTAATCAAGAGAAAAAAGTATACATAGAACAAGAGTGGAGAAGCCAGCAGTTTTCAGAGAAAAAGAAAGAAAGATAAGAACAGAAGGGGGACTTTTCAAATAGAAGTTTTGAGTTGGAGGGGATTGAGATATGGAAAATTATTTGATGGGAATTGATTAGTCTTGTCAGCATTGAGCCAAACTCCTCTATTGCAGATACAGGAATTTGAGGGAAGGCCTCTGGTTTTGTAACTCCCAGTACTTTAACTGGCCAGGAAAGAGGAAAACAATAACTTTTTGCACAGAAAGAAGATGGGAGAGATTTTTTTTTGACACAGAAGATAGGAGAGAGATGGCTCTGAGGTCTTTCTGTCAATTTTTCTCATAAAAAATCTGAGGTAAGATGACTCCAGAATACCTCTCAAAAAATAGTTGGATGTGTTAAAGAAGTGGTTGTATTCTCAAATTCTAGGAAGAATTGTATGCCATTTATCTCAAAGTAGAGGCATTTTGTCCCCATATTTGAACATCTAAATGTGTTATATTTAGTACAAATTATCTACCCAGTTAAAACAAATTAGGAGTTCTACCAAATTTTCTTCAAAAGTAAGATGCCCTTCCTTTAAGTTCTTTCCTGCATAAAAAACTTCAACATAAATTGAAGGTCTGCATCACATTCACCTTTTTGAACCTATCAATTGGAATACTGTCTTCATGTTTCTCACAAAACTTTCTGTTTAGGCTTACCTCAATTAAGTTCATTTTTACAAGTAAAAAAGCTATCATAAGATTCAGTTTTCCAGACTTAATCTTACTGAAATGTTACAAATCTAAAAGAACATCATGTTTTGTAAATATAGACTTAAGTCAACCAAAACTGATTTTCCTAATAAGAATTTCAAAGCTATTAAACATCGTAGTCTATGATTCAAGAGCCAAAACTATAATTATGTAGCAATTTAATTCATTTTTTGATCAAGGAATAGAAAATTCAAGGTGTTTTATTAAAACAGTAACTTATTATTTCAAGCAGGTGCTTAAAATGTAATATTTGAGAATCCTCATCTTGGATAAACCTTTAACCACCCACAAATAGGAAAACCATTTAGATTGCCATTGTAACAAAAAAATATATTGCTCAAGATACTCAGTTTAATATCCACTTAAGGTTCATAAAACGAATATTCAAGAGGTTTTAACAAGAGACAATTTATGTACTAAAACAAAAAATTTCAACACAAAACAATCAAAAGAATAGCATCACACGATCTTTTGTAACTCAAAGTTTTGGCCAATGACCAATGTGACCTGGAAGTTCCTGATTCTCAGAGAAGAAATTTATTCATTCTTCAAATGTTGAAAACCCAATGAAGAAAAAGGAATCGGAAGAACTGGAGCAAATAAAAAGACATTTTGAAGATGAAGAAATCTATTTTAAACAAGTGAATCTTTTTGCTTACCATATGGATTGCTTTTCTGAGCAGGAGATCAACAAAACACCTGCATGAAAGACACCAAAAAAAATGACTAAAAAGAAAACTCGAATGAGGTTTGAAAATACCAAAGGCCAAAGAAAAGTATACCATCATTTGAGCTCTGAAAAGAGCAACTTAAAGAAAAAATAAATTAGAATGATAAAACAAAGCTTACGTTTTTCCCCTCAGCAGTTGTCTCTCACGGGTGGCCATTTTCCTCCATGTTGCAGAAGAAATCCAAGAAAGGCAAAAACAGAAAGAAAAATGGAACAATAAAACACCAAGTAGGTACAAAAAAATAAAGTAAATAAATATCTACAAGCCAGCTAATCATCAATCATTCACCATCTCCGACCATATTAAAAGTTTTTTGTTGAAACTAAAAATAAAAATTTAATGATAAAACTGAAATGAAACAAAGACATGAATCGGGGGAAGAAAAATACCATATATGTATTCTACAAATTCATATAGACAGTGGAGATGAAATATTAACCTTTCACTTCCTCGTTGTTTCAGAAAAGGACCAAAAAAAAGAAGGGGGAAGAATTGATTGTTTTTAGCCAAGGAAATATCAGGCAAAATGGCAGACAAATAGAAAAAATCAGCTATAATTACTTGAGGTATGGAGAGAGGGAGATGAAGGAGAACAGGAGGGAGAAATCAACAAAGGGAGAAGGGGAAGATTACCAGTCCCTTTGCAGTCTTGAGCCCATCATCCATCAACTCTATCAGAAGAAAAAAAATCTGGACCCCCCAATTGAGATTACAACCTGTTTCAAGTACAATCAAATGCCAAAAATTCAGAGGAGAACTATAGGTCTCACGCAGATGAAATTTTGTCTGGAGGATAACAGCAATAGGGATCGGTCTTCAAGAGTTCTTGACACTGACTGATAGTTGTGCGTTTGACTATGAGTGAGAGTGAGAGAGAGAGAGAGAGAGAGAGAGAAGCGGAAGAAAAAGGATTGAAGATCCATCAGCATACGATGCCATTTGATTGATCAAAAGGAAAAAGGGAAAAAACCCATAAATCCTCAAACCACATGCAAAAAAAAGTTCCAAAGGTAAAAAGTTCTTTATCAATATAAAAGACTTCCAAAGGTAATAAGTAGATTAACAATTAATCGCAAAAAAATTGATAAATAATTGGGATTTATTTGGCAACAAAAAAAAGCGTTAATAATTACAAAAAGCTGGAAACTAAATGTTATTTGCTAGGCAATAAAAAGTGACAATTCACTTCCAAAAAAAATAAAAAAATTATCAATTGATTGCAAAAGTTGGCAGCATAAAAAAAGTGTTAATAATTGCAAAAAACTAGCAATTAAATGTGATTTATTAGGCAATAGAAAGTGAAATTGTTAATTAATTAACAATTAATTGCAAAAAATTGATAATTAAACATAATTTGTTGTACAACCCAATATAAAAGAGGACATTTTTTATGACATTTGAAAAAAATTTATAATTAAATGCATTTTTTGTGCAACCACAAAAAAAGAAGCCAATTTTTTTAATAATTCCAAACAATTGTTAATTAAACATGATTTGTTGGGTGATCAAAAACTTGACATTATTAATTAGTTATTAACATTTAATTGCGAAAATTTGGTAATTAGATGTGATTTGTTGGACAGCCAGAAAAAATTTTGATGATTAAAGGTGGTTTTTTGGGCAACCAGAAAAAAGAAGTCAATTTTTTGCTAATAATTGTAAAAAAATTGTTAATTAAACATAATTTGTTGTACAACCCAAAATAAAAGAGGACATTTTTTATGACATTTGAAAAAAATTTATAATTAAATGCATTTTTTGTGCAACCACAAAAAAAGAAGCCAATTTTTTTAATAATTCCAAACAATTGTTAATTAAACATGATTTGTTGGGTGATCAAAAACTTGACATTATTAATTAGTTATTAACATTTAATTGCGAAAATTTGGTAATTAGATGTGATTTGTTGGACAGCCAGAAAAAATTTTGATAATTAAAGGTGGTTTTTTGGGCAACCAGAAAAAAGAAGTCAATTTTTTGCTAATAATTGTAAAAAAATTGTTAATTAAACGTGATTTGTTGAATGACAAAAAACATGACATTAAATTAGTTATTAACAATTAATTGCAAAGAATTGGTAATTATATGTGATTTGATGGAAAAAAAAAAGGAATCCAAAATTTTTGTTAATGTGATTTGTTGGATAAAAAAGAAAGAAGCAAAATTTTAGCACAATCCTACGTGCAATTAGAGGACTATCACTTTTCATCCAATCAAAACTCGCCACATCATCAATTTAATATGCAATTGGGAGGGCTACCACCAATCGACGAATCAGAGGATGACAACTCATCAAATTGGAATCAATTGGAGGACTACCACCAATCAACCAATGGGAGAGCGCCACATCAGCAATTGGGTTCAATTGAGGCAATTGCATTCACACATTTACTATATATGTTAATAACTCTTTCTTCATCCACCCATTATTGGACATGCCAGTCCTCTTTCTCTTTTTTTTTTTTATTTTTATTTTTAATTTTTCCCCCTGGGGGCTTTTTTTTGGGGTGGGGGGAGGGGGAATCCTTTAACTGTTCCTTATGGGTTAGTAATAAACTGGAGGAATTGCAAACCTTTTTGCCCTAAATTTCATTTATTAGCGTAATTCTTCAATTTGACGGAGCTGTTTCCAGTAGTACTTTTTTGAAGTGCCTTTGAAACACAAAAGGGTCTAAGATCATGGGCATGCCGGGGGACCTTTCTTGTTTAGTGCAGTGTATTTAATTTAAGAGGAGGAATTATTTCATGGATTTAAGGTCCACTTGGGCTAATCCGGAAGCAAAATAAAAGCCCTGTATTAGTACATCAACTAATGTTTTAATAATACAGAATACAAACATCCATTATCTCTCTATTTCCAACCTTTACTCATCTTTCCACGCTACTTGCCTCCACTGGCTTATTGCTATGATTTCCAACTTCTAGCATCTTTACTTCCTCTGATCAAATGCTCTGTATCTCAATCAATCGAAATCCTACAGTTTCAACCTGGTGTGGTGCCCTGTAATAGTAAGGCAGTGTTTGGATTGCACTTTCTATCGAAATATTTTTACATTTTCATGAACATATTTTTAATTATTTTTTTATTTTATATATATTAAATTACTTCAATATATTTTTCTAATAAAAAAACTCCTAAACAATAGCAATTCAAGCGTCACCTAAAAGTTTACCAAATATCGACAAAAATAAACTTCGGGCTTTGTGGGGTTTTCTAAATGGACATTATTATTGAGTCATTGAGAGACCTCAACATATGGTCCAATACACAAATGACGCTGGGGCAACCGCAGCCCAAGATTTCGTAGATGTCACTAGCCCAAGAACCACTTCCGATGACGACTGCACTATTTTGGCACGCAAAACAAGTTATCAACGCAAAATCCCTTCCGATTAGCGTGCACGCACCTCCATTCAACGTGAAAGTCACTCTCCAATCACTTCAGTCCGTTTCACCCACTCGACCGAGTTGCTCTCTTTAACATACTGGAATAACTCCATTCATGGTCTTCCCGAACAAGTTTATACTACGTCGTATAACGACAGAAACCAGAACATCGACAGGTTTGTTTAGATTGCTTCAAATTTTCCCAATTTTATTTGCTTACATCATTTTTACAATTTCCAATACACCTTTTTATCTTCCCAATATCTTTTTATCTCACATACATCACATTACAAAAAATGCTACAGTAAAAATATCTCAAATAATCCAAAATAACTTACAATCCAAACAGACCCTCATTTCCGTACTTTTTGCTTTTTTCTTTCCTTCTCATTTCGAAACTTTCTCAAGTCAGTTCCGGCCTGTATAATCCGGCAGCAATGGAAGCAAAAGCATCGCCTCCGTCGTCTTCGCAAAATCCAATTTCCAAAAATCGAGACTTTTTGCTTCGACTCGAAGCCTACTTAGCCAGACGCGATGGAGTCGATAAGCTATTGAAAATCTCAAGATACGCTACAAAAATCATCCTGGCATCTTCCTTTTTATCCGACGGCCAGACCATTACTCCCCGGCTCAAATCATTCGAGTCCAGCGTCGGCCTCAGTCGGAAAGCCTTTCGCCTAGGTAAATTCGTCCAAGATGTTAATGCCCTTCGCTCTTCTTGCTTTTCATCCCATCAAGATTTGATCTTTTCGATCATTGCTTATGGAGGAGAGGGATTGTACTATTTTATCGAACAGTTTGTTTGGCTAGCTAAGGCGGGTCTGATTGATAAGAAGAATTTGAGTCGGTTGCAGAAAATGAGTGCTTGGTTAGAGTTTATTGGGTATATTGGGAGTGTGAGTCTGAAGGTGAGGGAATTGAAGAGGATCAATGAAGATGAGGCTTGTTTGATTTCGATTGTAAAGATTTCTGGGCTGAGGGGAATCGGTTGTGCCGAGGAACTGGAGAAGTTGAGGAAGCTAAAGGAGAAGAAGTTGTTGAAGAGGCTTTCCGTTGTTCAAGATTTGGCTGATAGTTTGATGGCTTTGGCTGATGTTCGTGATGGTAAAGGAAGGCTGTCGGCTCCTCTCTTGATTTCGTCAGCTGGGCTGTTGTCAGCTATCATTAGTACTCACAAAAATTGGATTTCTTGCTAGTTTTAGGGCCTGGAAATAAAACAGGGTACTAGATGATTGATCATAAGATACCACTTGATTGTTATAGATAAAAGATCAGTGAAAATGATGGTCGAGGGAATTGTTGTAATTTTGGTATACTGACGATAAACGGACCGCAAAAATTGTATGGTCCTTTGTGTTCTCTGCTAATCTATTCATTCACAAATATGACATATTTATCTTTTGCAATGCCAGAGGTGAGGGTTCTTGTTTTGTGGGCACTTTCTCGTGATTTATGCTTTGCATTTCTTTGAAAAGTTAGGTGACTCTTGGTTAAAATGGGTCATTGAGCTCATATTTTGTCGGTGAGAATTGTAAAGGAAATGAAGTGAAATGCTGGACGAGTTAAGATTGTCTTATCACAGGATGGAGGCATATCAGATTTAGTTTCAGTTTGCAGAACTTTGATTCATAATTGTGCACTTGAGCTTTACGTGTTCGTGTTTTGCGAGAGATAGAAAATATACATCCATTGTGCAATAATTAGTCTGTTGAGAACGCCAGTTGAAAAGGTATGGTGAAATAATTGGGCACGTTTTTAAGTTCATACAGCAGAAACATTCAGCATTTTGATGAGTAAAGATGGGAACTTGCTTGGATTGTTGACTTGGGACGGGAAAATTTTATTGCATAACTGGATGAATCCATTGGATGTGTAGTTCATTTGCAGGGGATATCCATTGTTAAATTACGACAACTATGTAGTAAGTGGTGTTTGGAACTGTCCATGCAGTCATGGTTAAAAATTTGAATATCACTGAGAACTCATTTGTGCTTCAGCATATAAATTTGGCTTGCCTTCACCGGGTGAGATAAATTTAACCATATGTGCCCGTCTCAGAGTTCTAGGAAACTCTTTTTTTTTTTTTCACAAAAAAAAGTTTGGTTGGTTTAAACTCGGTAGAGAAAAAAAGTTTTGGTCTTTCAATATATCAACCTCATGGATGCACTCTTGACAGATTAGCACTTGTTTCTGAGAATGTGAGTGTGCGCAGTAGATCCACCCGCATCAGAGACTCCTGCCAATTGTGACAGTTTCAGTTTCAGCAATGTAACTTTCAATATCTTTGAGCAAAGCTACTAGATTCATGAGGTTCCTTCAGACACAGTGCTTGTAATTTTACATAACCATCATCATCATCATCTATACGCCTTTGTTTGGCAGCATACACGTCCAACTGCAGTCATATTTGAGTTCACGCCTTTGTTTATCAGCATACACAGACAGAGTCCTAATTTTGCATAACCATCATCATCTTTACTTCACTATTCTTATTGAAGATGCTTTATGCTTCCAGTGCAGACAAGCTTGCTAGACATGAGAGACGCAACATAGAAAGGCAAGGATATAAGTTTTACTCGTCTAGTTTTAGAAGCAAACAATTTGATTTATATATATTTTCGACGTTATGGGTATTCGGATCCACACCCGATTAATCCCATAGCATCTAAGTAGAACGACCCGACCGATGTCCAAGACATAACAGCTGGGACTCGAATCAAAGACTTGGAGTAAAGATTTCCTAGCGGAATCCAGTCGAGCTATTCAGTGCGGGCAACAATTTGTTAGAATAGTGAGGTGATTCTTAGGTGATACTCCTATGTGCTTCCTTAATTACACAATATGCTAAATGTGAACAATTTATGCCGAAAGTGGACGCATCCTTGCAAGAGTATAATTTTGACACCAAACAGACTTCTTCGTGTCATGGAAACCTTCTACTAGAATTCTTTCCTTGAACGGTGAGTATTAGTGGTTGTAACACCAACACTAATCCGAATACCACCTAGATTTCGTCTACTTTCCTAAATCAAATCAAACTGACAAAAAGGAGTTTCCTCATCGTATCTGATGCCCATCCCATCGCCGCTTGAAAAAATTTGACACGCACGCAATCGAACCTCATTCGTAGCAGCCAGAGTGACCCAAAAACAAACTAATTTTAACTTGTGCAATCCCACGTTATCACTATCGCTATCCTGTCGGGTTTTTCTTCCTTAGATCTAAGGACACCGCCCCCTTCCCCCCCTCCTCTCCTCAGCCCGCCCCAGTAGGACTGAAGGAATAATTGAGAGGTCTAAACACAAAGAGAACAAAAGTACTCAACTCCAACCTTCCTCTCCTTTCTCCTCTCCTCTTCTCTGGGATTTTTTACTGCTAACCAAAATATCAAAGACCTTAATGGCTTTCCAATCATAATTTAATCAAGTTACTGTAACTCTGCTTCAATTCTTCTCTGCTAGTATTTTTGTTTGATCTAAATTATTCCTAAATAAATGGAGTCCGAGCTGAAAACCCTTAACCCGAATCCAGCTCAAATTCAACCTACCCAGCGGTCCCCACCCGTCGATGATAACTTAACAAAAGATGACCGCCCGCTTCTCAAACCCGAACCTGTGCCCCCCGGCCCGACCCAGAACCCAGCCACCACGACCGCCCCTGACATTGAAGAGCTGGAGAAGAAGTATGCCGCCTACGTCAGGCGCGATGTTTATGGGGTAATGGGTCGGGGCGATTTGCCCTGGGTGGAGAAGCTGCTCCTGGGTTTGGCCCTGGTGACGCTGGTGCCTTTGAGGCTGGTGTCTGGGTTGACGGTGCTGGTGCTTTATTACTTCATTTGTAGGATTTGTACAGCGTTTTTGGCTCCGAATCGGGAGGATGAGCAGGAGGATTATGCTCACATGGGTGGGTGGAGGAGGGCTGTGATCGTCCAAACCGGGAGATTTTGTTCTCGGGCTCTGCTTTTTATTTTCGGGTTTTATTGGATTAGCGAAACTCATCGGGACATCGTGGATGTTAGTTTCAATGGGAAGTTTGGTACCCAGGTATCCTTTTCGGTATTGCTTCTAATTTACTGAATTATCTGGAAATTTTATTTAGTGTAACTGGTGTTCAATGCGCGTGCATGTGCTTTTGAAACTTCTTTACTTATCTGGAAATTTTATGTAGTGTAACTGGTGTTCAATGGGCGTGCATGTGCTTTTGAAACTTCTTTACTTGAAGTTCAGTCGCTGGTCTTTTAAATTCATTCAACAGCTAGTTCGAATGCGTATCTGCGTGATAGAATTTTCTAATTCAATTTTTTTTTGGGAAGCTTAGGTTGCTGAAGTGTGGACTATTTTGGATGAGAAATGTGATAAAGTTTGGAGCTTGATGTCATGCATTAATCTCTTTGACTGGAAACAGTTAGGATATTCAGGAACTCACAAGCTGTCAACTTTGGTGGGTTAAACACAGAAAAATTGGAGGTTGAAGCTCTTGGACGGTGGTCTAGCTCATTAATTGTTGCCATTAAATGATGAAGGAAGATATTGTAGTGATTTTAAAAATGGCATACTTCTAACAGAAGCATCTGTTGGGAAGAAGTATGTGAGGGAAACAGCACAGTTAGTTATTTATGCATGAATCTCTGCGGTCAGAGGTTTATACTATACTATCATAAAATGAAACCTTTGAGATATGTCACAGTTTAAGTATGCATGAATTTGGGTATGTGATTGTGGGTGGATATTTCCATAGGATGTCAATATCCTACTTCGTTTAAAGGACGTGTTGTTGCTTCCCGGTATATTGCCTTTAGCGTCTGTTATTGTTGGATGCTAACAGTATGAAACGATGATGGTCCTTCAAGGTCCATATGATATTAAACCATTCCGGAAATTTGCTTGATTTGAAGCTTTCAAAGTTGCTGTTTTGTGAATCCGCCCATAATATATGAGTGTTGTAACAAATGAGGGCATAGTGAAAGAATAAACCCTGTATGAACTGAACTGAAGTAACCCTTTGAGGTGAGTGAGTTGTCTTTATCTTTCAAAGAAAGCGAGTACATGTTTGGGTGTTAAGGGGGACTTTGGATAGATACAGTAGATAGAATTACCAGTGGTGTTAAGTAAGATGACTGCTAGTCACTGTAGGGGTTCTTTATGATCCAAGCGTTCAAGTCCTTTTAGCAGTTTAAGATTAGGAAATGAGTCATGCTTTTATGATGATAATTAGTCTGCATAGTTTTATTGACTCATACACTTGTAATTATTTTATTCCTCAACCTTTCTGCATACCTTGTACGATATGATTGTATTATTAACTAAAGGTTCTGGTTCTGTTATGAAAATTGAAAATTGTTTTGACTTGATTTTTTTTCCAGACTGAGTCGAAGGATCAATCACAAGATTCTGCAAGACCTGGAGTGATCGTTTCAAATCATGTGTCTTATTTGGATATCTTGTACCACATGTCATCTTCTTTTCCCAGCTTTGTTGCCAAGGTCTTTGAATTTTTGCACATCAATGTTTCCCTAGGATTAGGAAATTGATACTTATTCTATTGTTGATTTGACTGACATGTTTCTTTTCTATTTTTCTTGATCATGTGTCTGTCTGTATTATTGAAGAGATCAGTGGCTAAACTTCCTCTAGTTGGTCTCATCAGGTTAGTTCACTCTGGATTCATTTGCTACTTAAGTTGTAGACCATTGCAGGTTTTTTTAGGAAAAACTGAACAGATATCTTCTTCTCCCAGGTTGTTTTGTGACATTTTATATGAAATTATTGTCTGCTGGCAGAGAGCCAAATTGTGATTGTCTCAATTTTGTTGTCACCTGTGTTTTGACTTTTCCTGTAACTTGCATATATCACGTCAGCTTTATGCTAACTGAGTCATCAGTTAGTGTAGTTGGTTGAGCAGTATTCTTCCTTTATAGTTTCTCAATGCATTCAACTTGCAAAAATGAATTGAATTCTAGAGCCGTTATTCAGGAAATGAGCGCTTTTTTTCAGTCCAAAACATTCTGAAATTGTGAGCCTTGTAGAAATGATTATTATGCTGTTCTGGATTCTTTCCTTTTCTCCCGTGTTTATCAGAAGTTGAGTTGGTGGTAGGTGCCTTTAAATTCTTTACCTTCTCTTTACAGCAAATGCCTTGGTTGTGTCTATGTCCAACGGGAGTCGAAATCATCCGACTTCAAAGGTGTCTCAGGTAAACTACTTTTTCTGCTGATCTGCTTGAAATGGTTAAAACCTGAACTTATGATCATCATGGCGGTTATTGCTTGCTAAAGCTAAAGGTTACTTTCACCTGCTGATTTTCGTGTGAAAGTTTCATGTCAAGCAAAGCAGTAAGGGTGGAAGATGCTTTATAAATACATAATACGCATTTTTCTATTCTATCATGCCTGACAGGCTGTCATTTCAAATTTTTTACTCAAACAAGCTTGGTGATCTAAATGTCTAATCGATTAGTGTCTAATTTTTTTACTTTGCCTGGCTTTCTAATTTAAGATATATGATGCTCACAGGTATTGTTAATGACAGAATTAAGGAAGCTCATCAGGATAAGAATGCCCCTATGATGATGCTCTTTCCAGGTTATCTTCTTTCTTTGTTATGATGCTATTTTCCCTATCTTTTTAGTGCTTCATCTGATAGTCATCCTCAGTGACTGTTAGTATCTCTGATTCAATTGGTTTTCTGCCAGAGTGTTGTAACAGGCCTTAGGTACTCGTGATTGTACTTGGGGTTGTATATGGAGCATTTATATAATGAGAGGCTAGAAGTGAAGTTTCAAGAAATTACGTGTCCAACTTTCATTTCCACTTTTATCCGCGAGAGTTGCAGCAGTCTAACCTGTATTTTGCCATGCATTTCAATTGTACTTTGATTAGCTGTTAAAATGGCTCCTTGTTCATTATATCCATTGTTGGTTATTAGTCATGTAAATTCTTAATTGGCATCTGGGGAATCCCTCAGCCTGTCAGTCTACTTCTACGCATATTACTTTTTCTCCACATATTCTCTGTTTTTGTGGCCTGCAGGTTCATCTGATGTCAAAACCTAGCCGAATTGAGTCCCATGAATTGATGTACAAAATTGTGTGTTCCACAAATAAATGTACGAAATCTTGTATATTCCATGAATTAATGCATTGATAGCAAATCTCAGAGCAGTAAATTACACTGTTTAAGTGGATGGAAACTTGCTTAGATGGACTGCTGGTTCATTCAGGTGTTGTTTTACTATGGTCATCACCCTTTAAGGAACTCAAAAGCCTGAGATGTCTCTAGTATTTTTAACATGTTTGATCAAGGGGAATATCGCATTCTCCTTGGACGGTATATTAATACCAGAGGTTTGCTTTTCCTTGATGTTCCACTGCTTTTACATTACTTCAACTTGACATTCAGTTGGTATAGACTGTCTCTGGCTGAACATAACTATAATGACCAAATTGACGAATTGTGTCTTTCTTCCAAATCACCTTTTTACATGTTTGACATGATTTTGCTCTCTCAGTCTGCAGTTACTCTTAAACAGTTTTCTTTTTTGTGCTTGCAGAAGGCACAACAACTAATGGAGACTTCCTCCTTCCATTTAAAACTGGTGCCTTTTTGGCAAAAGCTCCTGTGCTCCCGGTTATTTTAAGGTATCCATACCAGAGATTCAGTCCTGCCTGGGACTCCATTTCTGGAGTGAGTATTTTCATCTTCTCGTTATAGTTACATTCTTGATCACATAGCTAGGTTTAGCTGGTTCTGCTCATCATGTTTACATTCTTGATCACACAGTCTTGCATTTGTTCCCACTTTAAATGCTCCCCTGGATGCTTTTCTGCCAGTTCCTTGAAATAATCAGAATGTGCTTAGGAACTTGTTAATGTTTAGGTAGTTGTGGAGTTTTTGCCATTTTCTTTCTTTCAAAGACCAGATTGTGCGTTATGGCAAAGTTTGATGACTGCCACCTGTTTCAATATGATTTAAAAGTAAAGCACACACTGGGTAGGTGTTTGGTCTACTACCAGTAGTCCATGGCCCAATTGGAATCACCCTGCATACTACCATATATTGAGACAGGATCAGGTTTGGATTTTACCCACTCATATTGATGAATATATCTTCATGCAGGTGAGACATGTATTTTTCCTTCTCTGCCAATTTGTAAATTACATGGAGGTGACAAAGCTACCTGTGTATCACCCATCGCAGCAAGAGAAGGATGATCCAAGGCTTTATGCAGAAAACGTCAGGAGGTTAATGGCTCATGAGGTAGGGATTTTGATTTAATGTGTGACCATCATTGATGTTTATGGTCAGTGGATGAAATGGACAGTCCTACTTTCATCTGGTATCAGTTTTTGTTTGATGTGCTATAAAACTCTACTGATGCTTTAATCAATAATCATTGGTTAAAAGTGCTAAATCATTTCTACTTGAATAATCACACGCCTCACATGAATTTCATTTCTACTTTCAGACATTTGGGTACTGGTTGAAAGTGCTAAATCAAGGATTTTAGTGAAATGATTTTGTTGGATGTGATGAAGATGTATATTTTGATCGGATCAATTCATGTGGGTTAATTTTAACAAAATGAGTAGTATTTACACAAAAGTAAATTGCAAAATGAAGAGATTTGTAAAAGGGAAGTTTCAACAATGAAAAATGGGCGTGATAGTCCTGATATTAGCACAATTAACCTTGGAATAGAGTGAGGTAATAGAGCACTAAGTCATTGATGTGTCAATGCTGGATGCCTGTATCATATGGTTGTAGTTACTAGATTAATTCAGTCTCATTTCATATTTATGATGTGCAATGCAGGGTGGTTTAGTGCTCTCAGATATTGGCTTGGCTGAGAAACGAGTATATCATGCTGCTCTCAATGGTAATACTAGCATACCTACTGTTTTGCATCAGAAAGACGATTGATAATTTCATGGCCTGGCACTGAAAAGATATCTAGTCCACCTTGGGTTGTTGTAGTTGTTGCTTGTATCTATAGGTTGATTTTAGGGGAACTGATGGGTGATGATCTCAGCTTGTTAAAACAAACTGTTGGGTGTTTTGTATGATGCTCCCTGTAACTTCTTTACTTACAACACTATGACCATTGAATACAATGTTTCGATGTTTCTGGTGGATGTTTTCTTATTTCCTCGACCGTATACTTAGCTTTTATAGGCTTCACGTCCTCTGGGCTTTCGATATACTTTTATTTGCTCTGGTAAACATTCTAGTGCAAGGAGTATGTGTTTATAAATCTGAAATGTCTCTTTGGTTTTCCTGCAGGTGTATTTTGTCAACAGTAATTCAGGTTCGCGGTCTGTATATTCATATGTATGTTTCTGTTAATGAAATTTGAAAATTATGTGCAGATAACATATTCCCTGAAGAAGCATTAGATAACATATTCCCTGGAAGAGGCATTCTTACTGTCAATATCATCTAAGTGTGTCCATGCTCATATATGTAGTAGCTTTGGGGAATCCTGAAAGCTGGCTAATTTTTGACAGCATTGTTAGGCGTTTTGCTTAAAAAGATCCAGAAAAGCTGGTTTATCCGATCAAAGATAGTATGTTAGGCACAGCGCTTATTACTGCTCCAGTGTAACAATTCTTATATTCATTTCTAGGAGAGGTTTAGTTTAGTATTCTATTTATGTTCTCGCTCAAGGGGAAAAAAAATCGTAATAAAAAAGAATGTGCCATAATGATTAGAAAGATTAACTTGGATCTTGAAAACGATTCTTGACTCTCAGGTCTTGGCTTTTCAACAGTCTGCTGTCATCTTTGAGGAAAAAAAAAAAAAGCACTGGTGATGGGGCTGTGACCTTGTCGCTTCTTGAATCTCATGTAAACGAGGAGAGAGAGAGAGAGCTGAATTCCACCGATGGTGTTAACGCATGCAGAGACTGGTAGAAATTTGGTGAAGAGTGGACTGGAGTCGGGGGGAGGGGGGGCTACGTTTGTAATGATCCGAGCTAATTTATTGTTCGAGGTAATGTAAAAAAACCGTCACCAAAATTACTCAACTACTCTCGTATTTTTTTTGAGTAAATTTTATATACACGGGTAGTATATACACTATCATCATTGAATTCATGATATGTGTGTAAAAGTTAAATTTTAAGTATAAATTTTGTATAATTATCATTTATTTAACGCTGATAATGTATACACTATCGGGTGTAGGAAAGATTAATTCATTTTTTTTCTCCAAACGAACTATTCTCATATTAGAATGTAGTATTATGTATGTTCTACACGCTGGATGCTTGAAACAAAGATAAAGAAAACACGACGTACCCATAATGAATAGATAAATTACAGATTGTATAACTTGTTTCACATTATACTAATAGTAGAATTCATAGTAGACGGAAAATGTCAAGACATGGATTTTTCAGACGCTACATATCACAGGTAATATGCAGGCATGCATACTTCAAATGGGTCTCTTATGGGGCGATCTTGGATCAAATTAAACTGAACAAGGAATGGGGTTTTGCCACGGCTTCCTGATGCTGGTTTTCTGCCTACTTTGCTGGGAGGTTCAGGGTGGAAGCAGTTCCAAGCCTTGATCTTTGTGTCGAAGCAAGAAAACATTAACAACAGTAATCCTCAGAACCCCGCACGCATTTAGGAAGAGGTGTACAACTCATTTCGGGTTTGAGAGAAGCATGCTTTTGTCCGTTATCCTAACTACTTTTCTGAATATTAGCAGACGTTTTTTGGTGCTAAGAGCTAAGGTTTTGTAATGCCATGCACAGGCGTTAGCTCAAAGCTTTTCCTGTGGAACTTGAAGCAGTATTTCTCATGCCCAAAAGTGAAGACACCATTTAACTCATCAGGTATGATGTTTATACCAAGACTTGATATGGCTTGGCGTAGCCGGTGCTATTGGCATTGTAACACATCCTTCACGAGCAACTGAGTGCTGGGACCAAATCATATGTAAGAGTTTTCCCAGCACTCCTAAACTAGTTACCCCGTGTCATTGATTTGGCTTGTTTTCAGTTTTATGGCACCAAAATGCCCTGAACCTGCGGGAAAGCTGTTGCAGACAACAGGTCTACCTGCACAAGGCATGAAATTATAATGCCTCGAACTCGAAGGTCAAGCTTGCTGAGTGATCACTACATTGACAATAAACCTGACAGACCCCTTTCCCGAGTTCAAGCAACAGAACTTCAGGATGTCATATTGCAGATTTGTTCAGGAATTGAGCTAAATACTAGCTGTGATTTGAAGGTGTCAGGAGATGAAAGTGAACGCTTTTAAAAGCGCAAGGAAGGAAAAATTGGAGAATGATGATACTCACAATTCAGCTTTTCCACTGCATGCATTTATCTACTTCATTTGGTTCTAAGAGATACACTTACTGTTACAAAATATTCAACATTGAGAGACAGAGAGAGAAGGCATGGCACGTCACAAGAATTATCCCTTCCTAAGGCAATTGCTCTAGACAAAGGGGCTTGACTTGCATGCATAAGCATGACAACAACTTACAACACTGCCTGATAGATTAAGATTTCAAGAATTCAACCTGGTCTCATCGTTCCTTGAGTGAACCATTGTTAAACTTCCTCAATTCCCATGGTGGTAAGCAGCCTTTTAAAGGGGATTGTAGAAATAGTGAAGATGTAGACAACTGCTTCTGCCGTGTTGAGATTGACGACAAACAACTGAAAGAACTTCTGAGCCTTCTCTTCTCATTATCATCTTCTTGGTAATTTGGATCATGTCGTACGGGAGATATTTTCAGAGATTCTGGCAGAATGCAATTGAAGGTAGAACCTGTGGATACAACAAAATAAAACAGAACATAAAGCCGTATCCGGCTCTTCGAAAGTGTGAAATCCTGGAGCAGAATAGTAATAATGTACTGATGATAAGAAAGTTGTTATATTGGGAGTTGATTCAGTTTCAAGTGTCTCTCCGTTTTTGAATTGCTAAAACTTTGATCCTTTTATCCTATACAATGTATATATCTAGTGAACATTTGGATATACATTTCTGTTAATGAAAATGCCCAGTAATGTTCTGTCAAAGAAGCAAGAATTTTATACTTGTATCCAAAGGAGCAGTTTGGAAAGAACATTGTAATCAGGAAAGAATGTACCAAAAATGTACATTCTTGGTAAGGAAAGAAGAAACATGGAATTTCATATGATTCTTCAAAATTACCCAAAATTCTATTAGATACCCAATCTTCCCAAGTTACCAGCAATTCTACATGTAAGCGAGGGTAAAATCTTAACCTTTGAAAGAGTTATGGTGGAAGAAAGGCTACCTAATTTTGCTAATCGGTTGACCCATTTTGGAATCTTTCTCCCAGTAAGTTTGTAGCATATGTCCTTACAGAAATGATTGCAGTTCTTGACAATCAAGTGATATGTATCACCATTGTAGCTTGCAGCTTGCCTCTCCATAAACTCCCTGACCTGGGCGGCATCCAGGGATGTGGTCCCAATGAATATTGACTTTCTAAACTTGAAGCCTGGGCACTGCCGAGGTTCAACTTCAAAGACACCACTTGATGGATAATCGTGAGCCCCAAATGCATATTCCACACCATGAACTGTGAAGTATATGTATAAGAAAAACCATCACCTTTGGCCTACGTTGGAACTTAGAAACTTTTTCCATTATTTGTGCAATAATGAGAAAACAGTGTTCAGTAACTTTATCACCTATTTATTGATTAGCATCCTAAGCTAAGTGCAAATGGAAAACCAACTAATAATAGAGTTTGCACTAAACAACAAAAGATTTTAAATCACCAAAGGCCTGGAATATGTACATCCTTTTATTTAACAAGCTCTTACAGAACCTACAATGAAACAGGCCTTACTATTTCACTCCACCATTAAGATCCTGATATACAATCTGCAGAGATATATGCATATTAGACACTTCGTATCCTGAACTTTGCATCTAGCTACTGTTTGCTAACACTACAGAAAAAATTCAAATGAAACTAGGAAACTGAACTAGGAACAACTGGTACAAGCTCAAAGCATACTGCAAGAAGCACCAGACAGAGATGAGCAAAGGGTGCTTCTTCATAGATAGGGGTAAATTCATGATGGCTATGCATATAAGCATATAAAAACCCTTACCTTCAACACCAGAATGAAATATACCTAAGCCAGCCCAATACACATAGCCATTCATAGGTGTCAAGTCATACACGTTTAGATAAACTGGTGTCTTTCCAGGGCCATAATTAGCAGGCTTCACCTTGGAGAACAAACAAAAGCGGGGAGTTGATTTGCCTTTTAGACGGAGGGGCACTATCGACTTCCATCCTTTCTTTGATCCTAATGTCATGGTTCCTCTCCTGGTGGAATTGAAAGTCAGTCAAGGGCCCATCGGCATCTTGTCTGGTATCATGAAATGATAAGCCCAAGTTAAAAAATAAAGAAGGCAAAAAGAAAACCAATATATCAAAAATAAAAGGTTGGTCAAGCAATCAATCAACATGGAAAATAAGAAAAAAGTGCACAATAATATTATTCTTCAAGTATTGCCACCTTCTATGTGAGCATAACATAGAGTATTAACGAAAACTTCTGATACAGCCATATGACATGCTCTGTGATCAGTCAACCAGAAGCAAGATGATTGTATGGGAAAGAAGAAATGGTCAAGTAATGCCGTCTCCCAGAATTTGTTTTTTAAGCTAAACAAGTAGCAATTATAGTTTAGTGAGTATTTTTATATTATGCAAAGATATCAAAATGAAAAAAGGAAAAGAAGCATAGAGGTATAATGTCATAATTCAGAAAAGTCATTGATTATTGAAATAGATTCGCAGCTTACCTTAAATCAGAGCTGCAATGCTAAAATTTTATGTAATTAATTCATAATGAATCTTCACAAAACCTATCTCAGACTAACAGTTATCAAAGGAGCAGTTGGCTTAGGATCTTTCCAAACCAACTATCCTTCAGAACTCAGCAATATGCCAGACCAAATGAATTCTCAGTTCAAGAACTACTCAGCACAAAGATTGTCATCATTTTAAAACTTATAATTGGTAGGTAGAGTAGACCTCACTATCATTTGAACATCAGATGACTGTGATATAGAGTCACTATCCACCTAAATAAGTAGCCTAATCCTTTTAAAATGCTTGTATGGAATCTTATCAACTATAGAAGACATAATTAATCAATTTAGTAAGTCGACTTTCATGTTATTATATTAGCACAAGAAAGTTTTTGTAGATAGAATGTTAGCATTACGGTACTTATTCTGTCCATTTACTTATTTCGTTTTGACTTTCAATTTTTATTTGGGCAGGCAGAGGAAGATCAGAGACACAAAAATAAAATGAATACTGTGTTCAAACTTCTAGAAAAGTCAACAGTAGCATGAGTGGTGAGGCACTCATGTAATTTTTAGTTTGTATCTCATCACTGTAGCTTGCAGCTTTGCTTTATTCTTTTTCAGTTGTTATACAATGCAGAAATTTTGTTTGCCATGATATGTTTCAAATTCCAACACTCTGGAGAAGGAAAACTCAAGACTTGACTTGTCGCTGGTAAGCAAACCAGAATGACGTCAAATGTAAATAAACCTTATGTAATATAACTTATTCATCAAACAGATACAAGACGAATTACAAAATTACTTCAAGGTGATCCTCTGTTTCTCAAGAGAACAACTGCACAGCTTACTTTCTCAATGTTGCAATATCTTTTCCACTATGTCATGGAAACACTCGCTGAGACTATGTTTTCATATAACTTTAGCAAATACATTCTGAACGTACCTTCTAATTGCATATAAACCATAAAAAGATAAAGAGTAAGAAGATTTCTCAAGCTAATCCTATATAAGCAGAAACTTACATTATCCTTTGTCATCTTTACTTTCTATTTCTTAGCATATCATCTAAACATTTCACTAGGGAAGAAGCAGTCCCAGGTGATTCATTAATACGACAGCTCCTTGTAACTTGTCTCTACCTATTTCACCCACGGATGGATCAAATGTAACTACATGCAGTCTTTAAATATATAAAAAACCTTTTAGAGCACAATAAGCTGAAATTTTATCCCATGAATTTATAAATGCCACATCCACTCAACTGTGGATGATGTAGCCAAATACATCATCTTTAGATGGTTAAAAAACAGAAACAGATTAGAAGCTCGAAGTAGATGCAAATGAGATCCTTAAAGAGAGAAGATCAGAAAACTACTACTACAAAATGGGCCAGACTAGAGGGAGAAATTAACTAATGACAGAATCATTAAGCTGGTATTAGCATCATAATAGGCAATTTCCCTGTGATTTTCCTGGTCTAAGCCAGGAAAATTCCTAGTTGACATATTATAGCAAACACTCAGCAATTATTGACAACTGTCGTTCCCCGGTGAACAACCAGAATCAAAATTTTGACCGAGCTGTTTGGAGCTTCATGAATAGTTAAAGTTAACATAAAGAATGACAAAGGGCAAACTTATAATTTTTCCTTGCTGAAGAATTCTGGATTTGCAACATTACATCAAGTATACATCAAATTACTTCTAGTTACAAAATGATATAGTGAAGTTAATGCAAGAATGTGAGCCGAAGTATGCCAGATCTTGTTGTCAAGTTGACATTTTGCACGAAAGGAAAGAAAGAAAAGAGAAAAAATAATGATGAAAAAACACACACCGAAGCAATTCTAGCACTATCAGATCAGAAAGAGAACAAATGTACCACAAACGCCATAAAAATTAGTAAGAATCCCACCAACTACTTTTCGCCAAGAAGATTTAGAAAACTAACAAAAAAAAATGAAGCAAATGGAAAGGATTAAGAATGATTCACAGAAAAGGAGACTCACAAACTCAAAAGACACCAGCTTTCTTCAGCACTAATCTGGTGTTCTAAAGACAGACAGGGAGCACTTGAAAATGGGTTTATAAGCTACGCATCAACATTTAAAATATCCATATTTGTGCCAAATCCCAAGATAACAAGCAGCAAAATCTTGAATTTACAAGTAACCTCTTCCCAGAGTTCAAGAAAGCAAATTGCTTAGTAGCCAGAACTACGGATAAAACAGAAATAAAAAGGAAATGAGAGCAGCGAGGCGTATCTGAAATGGCCCCAAGTTTTGGAGGTTAAAGCCTAGAGGGAGAGAACGGACACATTATACCACAAGGGGTTCTCTCTTCTCTCTCCATCTCTCTCAACTGTTTTTGCTATCAAACTTTTTCTTATGTTTAACCTCAAAGAGTAATGGCAGTTTTCTTTCTTTCTTCTTCTTTAACCTCAAGTAGCTTAAAAGCTTAGCACGGACAGAATAAAGAAGTTTTCTTTAGTACTAAAAAACA